ATATATATATATGTACGAGATGCAGAAAGCAGATTGAATGTAAAAGATGCTGGCTTAACTTACTCAATTTTGGCTGTCATCTCCTTTAAAATAGTCTCTTTGGGAATGTATACAGGAATCCCATCGTTTTTTCCAAGCTTCAAAAATACCATGAAGGCCATCTTCCTTAATGCTGTAGTACCGCTTGTGATTCCCTTTGAATGTCAGACACTGTTTAAAGCTGTAACCCCTTCAGTTTCACTTTGAACTTGGGAAACAAAGTGAAATCATGGGGCTAAGTCCGGTGAATAGGGAGGATGGGGAACAATAACCACGTTGTTAGTCACAAACTCTGTGGTCTTCAGGGACATGTGGGCAGGCTCGTCGTGATAAAGGAACAGTGCTGTGTGTGTTAAAATTTTGTGTTAAGATCTCCTGGCAAACTCTATAACTGATCCCATCAGTGTCTGTGAGCTCATGGATTGTTCAGCAACAGTCTTCGTGGATGAGTTCTCGAATTTTTTGAACATTTTCTGATGTTTTGCTGATGCTTGGTCGCCCTGAACCTCTGTCATCTTCAGCTGACACTCAGCTGGCCTTGATACATGAATGCCATTCAAAAACCACTGTTTGGCTTAAAGAATATTCTCCAAAAGCCTTACGAGACGTTTCAATGGTTTTGGTAGCAAACTTACCAAGGTTCACGCAAAACTTGATGCTGACACATTGCTCGATTTTTCCATCCATTGCAGACAAAACAAAACACGCAGTGGAAAAAGCACACGTATAAAAACAATGCATGTTCACAACATGGTGTTACATGGCAGATTGATGCAAAAGGCTTTCGAAAGTGTGACTTTGGACTCTCTTCTCATCTTCTTTTACCGAGACAGATACAACAATAACAGTCTGGGAACTTTCCAATACAACCTTGTATTACTCTTGTTACCTTACCGCCATCTTTGAGCCGATTGTCTAGATAATTTGGGACCCTTAATGTCTCACAACCCTATGGGCCTTCACTGCCTGTTACAGGGATAGCTTTACTTTTACATTTTTACTTTTATCTGCCCTTAACATTTAACAGCATCTTTTCAAAGTTTGTAAAATACTTCTATTAAACATTACTCTGAAGCTGCTGAGAAGTGAATTTTATTTGCACCTCAGTGCTGTCTGAGGAGCTGAGATAGTTCATTCGGTATAGTGACAGGCTACAGGCTGTATGGCTGAGGAATTGTGATTATTTCTCAGCAGGGTTTTCAGCACAATGTCCTTCCCAATGTGTACTTGGAGTCTTTCCTTAGGAGTAAAGTAGCAGAGGGGTGAAGCTAACCACCTACCTCCATCTAGTCCCAGGGCCAAGAATCATGGAGCTATATCTCCACTGCCCCATACATCTTCATGACATAGTGTTTAATTAATTAAGTACAGGGACGTTTTACCTATACCCCACTCTTGCATACCTACAGCAGGCTAATGCATCACAGGTTACCATCTACAAGTATATCAGTAATGTTTAATTTTGTACATTTGTTATGTGCCTAATTTCAAAGATATATCATAACCATTTGGTATGTTTGTGAAAGGTGAATATCTGAACATTTTACCCAGTATTTTATAATTATTGTGATAACTAACTTCATGGAGCTGAGCCCTTCTTGAGAAGTCACCAGTTGTGCAGCTACTAAAGAACTTCCCAGCATTCTGTGGAACTGGAAGGTTCATTATCGTGTTCACAAGATCTGTCCACTGGTCTCTAATCTGAGCTAGATTGAGCCAGTCCATACCCCATCCTATCTCCCTAAGATCCATTTTAATATTATCCCCCAATTTACATCTTGGCTTTTCCACCAATATCCTATATGCATTCCTCCTCTCCATTTGTGATACATGCCCTGCCCATTTCATCTTCCATGACTTGATCATTCTAGTTATACTCAGAGAAGAGTACAAGTTTTCTCTAACCTCCTGTCCCTTCATCTCTTCAGTCCAATATTCTCCTCAGCACCGACTTCAAACACCCTCTGTCTGTGTTCCTCCCTTAATGTCAGTGATCAAGTTTTGCACCCATACAGAATCACAGGCAAATTTATAATTTTGTATATTCTAATTTTTATGTTTTTAGACAGCAGACTAGAAGAAAAAAGGCTCTGGTCTGATTGATAGCAAGCATTACCCAGATTCAATCTCCTCTTAATTTCCTCCTGAATCAAATTTTGATTTGTTATTGTTGTTCCCAAATGTCTGAACTGTGCCATGTTTTCCAAACATCTGTTAGCCATTTTTATGTCAGATTTTGCCCTGCATTCTGATGAAGATACAGCAACATATACATAGTTTTCTCTGTGTTTACTTCCAGACCAACCCCTCTACTATCATCAATTAAAGTTTGTATGTTTTTCTTTGTGGTATCTATGTTATCACCCAGTAGATTCACATCATCAACATAGACCAGCAGCTGATGTGTCCCATTTAATTTCAGTCCCACCTGGTTTTCCTGGACCTTCCTAATGGCATACCCTAAAGCAAAGTTGACAAACAGTGGCAATAAAGCATCTCCTTGTTTTAGGCAATTTTGGATATGAATCAGCCTAACTAGTTTGATGGGTACCTCAAACTCTATGAGAATATTGTACAGTATTTCCCTACTAACTGAATCATAGGCTTCCTTTAAGTCTATGAATAGCTGATGTGCCATCTCATACTCCAAGTTTTTCTCCAGTATCTGATGAATGAAATAGATCTGATCAGCAGTTGATCTGTTATGTTGAAACCTACACTGATGTTCCCCAATAATTTCATCCATATATGGACTTAACCTTGAGAGAAGGATATTGGATAAAATTTTGTATTAAGTTGATAGTAGTGATAAAATTTTATGTGAAGTTGATACCAGTGATATGATAATTGCTAGAGTTGGTTTTATCACCCTTCTTGTGAATTGATACAATAGCAGACTCCTTCCACGGATCAAGCAGTCCTTCCTTATTCCAAAGAGAATGAGTTTATTGATCATTAATTGTGATATGAAAATTAATGTAACAATATTTGTACAGAAAGCTTATTTGTGAGCCTGTGAAAAATCTTTCAGTCAGTCCAGCAGAAGGGAATCAAGATCCCTCAGTCAGCTTTGTTCAGACCTATAGTGCAGTTGGCAGCACAATAGACCAGTATATTGAATAAAATTCACGCCACAGCAGATGTTGGAAGTGTCCCTATTGTTATGCATGCATTCCTTGCATCTCCAGAAAATGTTCACATTTATATATTGAAAGTTTGTTTTCAGAAACAAAGCAAAGTCGAAACTCAGACTCTTAAATTTTAAACCCTCGTCACCTGTACAAGATGTGAAAGGGAATTTTGAGTGAAGTGGTGAAGCCCAGCATCATTTATATCCAATTTCTCTTCAGGAGTTCTTGATTCTTTGTACAGTAACAACCCTATCTGTTGTAATTTGTTTATAATTACATGGCTAGCCCTATGTAGAACTGTCATATCCAAATTGTCTTTCATTATTTACATAGCCAGGTTTGCATAGGTATTGTACATGAATACTCATTGCTTCAGAGCATAACTCACTCATGGCTTTTTGGCACAGGGAAGAACATGACAGAGTCATGACTGCTTATTACACAGGTGAAATACAGTAGCAGTATCAACAAGACGCATGGGTTTTGTGGATGGGCCAGCACATAACTTGAGACCACTTCTGTAGGATTTAATGGATTGATGATTGTAATATGTATAGATGTTTGGTTTATTGACAACACCACAAGTCCAACTGTGTGAACCAATCTGATGTGAGTAGTACATGAAACTTGGGGCACGCGGTAGCGTAGTTGGTTGAGGCACTATGCTACAAGCCGGAAGGTCACGGGATCAAGTCCTGATGAGGTCATTGGATTTTTTTCAATTGACCTAACCCTTCCAGTCGCACTATGGCGCTGGGGTTCATTCAGCCTCAGTCTCACAACCCTATGGGCCTTCACAGCCTGGTACAGGGATAGCTTTACTTTTTACATGAAACTTTGCCTCAACCGCCAAAGAACTTGCAGTAGGCATTCACTCTGTATATGATCAATGCATATGCAGTTGATTTACAGAGTTATTATAATGCTTCATATATTACAAGAGGCTCTCTTGTATGCTGCTGTGAAAGAGTATTTGTAACTGATGAGGACAACTATTAGATACCAATTATTCATTCCAGGCAATACTATTTTCACAAACTGTATGCCAGATTGCCCCAAAATCGTAATGAATTGTGAATTAAGTCAGGATTTGAAAGCTTTGTCAGCTACTGACAAAGGAGGACAATAGATGAGAATATTAAAATTAATTGAAAGAAAATAAGGTGATTGGGTACTCATCAGAAATAATATGGTTACGTGATAGGGTAAGGTAGGGTAAAGTTGTCCCTGTGCCTAACTAATTAAGCAGTACGCCATGAAGGGGTGTGGGGAGTGGATGTATAGATCCACATTTTCTGTGTTCTTGACGTCAGAAATAGTTGTAGGTTAGTGATCAGCTTCACGCACCAGCTACTTCACCTCCGGTGAGATCTCCTGGTACGCATTGGATAGGAGGTTGGGTGGACCCACTAGACGGTCTGGACGACTTGGAAACGAGAAAATTCTTGACCTTACTGGGACTCGAACTCCGAAACCTCGGTGTTCAGCAGTACAGACTCGGCCATCCCGGCTCCAATGTTATACGATACTAATTGGAAATAATATTGTAATGAACCGTGGGGTTTCATATGAAACGAATTTCGTGAGTGGATGGGCAACCATTAACTTTTAAAGAGACTCAAGAACGCTCAAGAAGACTCAACCGAAAACGTAACCTAAATGGGACATTTGCCCTTCCTTAATTCACAGTAGGTGCATCGCCATTTTGTTTCTATTTGGTTTCAAGTAATTACATTTTTCGCCATTTTCGGTCAATTCGTAAATTATTGCCATCAGTCGATCGACTGAGAATCGATATTTCTTTCCCGCGTAGGATCCTAAACAAAACTAAAGAAACTACTGTATGTTACGTTGAAAAGTGGTATGAATGTAAACAAAACAAGTGCCCATTTTTTGATGTCTTAAAAACGAGCATGGACTTCATGAACGCATTGTATAAAAGAGAAACTGGGCGTAGTAAGTAAAAGCTGTATACAGTCATGTGTGAAATGTATTAATTCAGTTTTATACGAATTTATACTATTTATTCTTTGTAGGAACCATGAATTCTTACGACTTCGCAATCAGACGACTGAAGTGTTATGATTGTGATGAATTTTGTGGCATTTACCCAAATAACTATGGCCAATCTAATCCGGAGTCACTCGTTTTCGCATGCCAGTTTTGCTGTAAAGCGAACTACCAGCATTGGCTTGCACTGGCAAACGAAGATGGCATGATCGCAATTCAGGACACAAAACTGAAAAGTAAACGCTGGAAGTCAGGCGAGATATATGCTGAAGGTACTACTATTTCAGTTATGAACGGTCATGAGGATTTTTTCACCATTGGTCTATGAGATCGTCAATCTCCTTCGCTTTTAGTATTCAATCATTAAGCTGCTTCTAGTCCTACATTCTGACTCCACTGATTAAAACTTCATAGCCCTGTATCTTCAACCGTATGATACATTTGATCATAAATGAATATTATGCATTTTCACGTAGTTAATTAAATTCATAATATATGGAAATACATGTCTATTAATGGTAAGTTGTGTCAGATGGTCAATAACACAGGCTTCTGATAGTGGAATGCAGTGATAATGATAACAGAATTTAACTTTAACTGAAACTTACAGACTCAATTCTTGTATAATATTACACAAATAAATACTGTTTATGTAGTTAAAAACAGAATGTAATGTTATGGAACAGTGAATAATGTTAAAGTTATATCACCACTCCTCCATTTGTCCCAATGTCCTGGTGCTTGCTTGAGCCCAGGGGTTACCTTTATTATTAAGCTTACATTATGGTCATTGTTTGCTGGAACTTAATACAATACAGTGTGCCTATTGGATGCCCCCCCCTCCAAATCCCTAAATCTGTTACAGCAGTGGTTCTCAAACTTTTTACCTCTGAGCCCCCCCTGACAAGAGAAAATACTCTCAGGCCCCCAGCCGTTTTTTTTTTATCAAAATAGAAGTCATTGTATGTTTGATGTTTTGTTCATTTTATTTTCTGTTTTTCTACTTACTATTTAGCAGCTTTTTTACTCAAAATTAATGTATCACAATATTAGGCCTACAATATGAATTAATTTTAACACTTGCAATTAACCAAGATATGTATTGAAATGAAACAATATTTAACTAACAAGTGTTTAATTTTTTCTGCAAAGAAAATCAAACATTTAAATATCAAAGTTGAGTGTGATGGATGGGCCTGCTTTTGAGAACAAAGTTTATCAAAACGTGGTGTAATATCAGAAATCGCCACTCTAACTTCTTTAGCAATATTTAGCCTTGAACGATACTTTGACTTTATAGCTGCCAAAGCAGAAAAACCTGTCTTGCATAAGTAAGTTGTTGCGAAAGGAATCAGTATCTTCAGTGCCCTTTGGCTCAAAGTTGGGAATTCTTTGCCAATATGTATCCAGAACTCCAACAAAGACAATTTCTTAAATTTACTTTTTAACGAAGTATCACTAGTGAGATCGATGAGTTCTTGCTCATTTACCTTCAGAGATGATGGCCCAGGAGCATTTTTGAATGGATTTTTAATCCAATTAAATTTATCAAAATCATTGCAAAAGTATTTTTCAAAATGAACTTTCAACATTATGAGATGATCAAGTAGGCAGCTTTTTATGTCCATTGGAAGCACTGGATTATCAGTGTCTTGTACCATTGACACTAGAATAGGGAACATGTCTAGCATGTTACTTTCCATACTGTTTCTCCAGAGCTCTAATTTTCTCATGAATGCCTTCAATTTGTCATTCCAAGAAAGTACAGTTGCCTCATTCCCTTGAAGTGAAGTGTTGAGGATATTTAGTTTCTCAAATATATCTGTGAGGTAAGCCATTTTCAATAAAAAATCCTTGTTGCTGAAACTGTCTGCCAGTGAGTGATTTTCCACATTTAAAAAACAGAACACCTCATGCCTCAGCTTAAACATTCTCTTTAATACCTTGCCTCTTGAAAGCCATCGAGCATCACCTAAAAAACAACAGAGCAGTGTGTTCGGCACCCATTTCCTCACACAGCATTTTAAAAAGTCTATAGACTTCAGAGGATTTCAGAGGATGCGGCTGCTGTCGAACTATCAATGCTGTCTCTGGCATATGTGTTTTATAATTGCCGGTAAAGAGAATAATTATTAGTTATTTTGAAATTCATGATAATTAAAGCCTGTACTCATCAAAAGTTTTTCTATATGTATTTTTATTTTTTGTTACTTTTCTAATTGATTTAGGACAGTTTTAATTTTTATCTGTAGGAAAGTATGCTGCGCCCCCTTTCCAAGCCTTTCGCCCCCCCCCCAGTGGGGTTGCGCCCCACAGTTTGAGAACCACTGTGTTACAGGTTAAGGCATAAGAGGAAGTTTTCCCCATGCTCTTAATTAATGGCACATGCCATGAAGACATATGGGAGAGTGGAGGTATAGCTGTACCATTCTTAACCTCAGCACTAGATGGAGGTGAGTGGTCAGTTTTATGTCCTTGCCACTTCCCCAGGGCAAGAGGCCCTGACACTCATCATATAGGAGGCTGGGTGGCATGTGTTAATTTTTTTATTAAAAAAAGTATTTTATACAAAAGTTCAAATAAAGCTAATACACTCCTTGGTTCTCAATGCATTTGTGCAGATTGTTCACTATACAGTCCACAGCTCGTTGACATATTTCTGTAGGTATAGAATGGACAGCCATTGTAATGCGTTCTTTAGGATCATTAATGTCGCGAGATTTTGTAGCATACACACGTTCCTGGACCATTCCCCATAACCAGAAATCATATGGAGTCAAGGGGAAGGTCCACCTCTTCCAGTCCAACGTCTACCAAATGTACCATCCAAGTATCTTCGAACTAGTAAGAAATAATGCAGGGGTGCACCATCTTAAAGTAAAAAAAGTAAAGTAAAGCTATCCCCATACCAGGCCATGAAGACCCAAAGGGTTGTAAGACGATTGAAAGAAACCATGTCTTAAGATATGTAGAGGTAGATTGTTTTGCACAAAATTCTGCAACATATCCAAGTAAGAAGTGCTCATTATAGTCAAATCATTAAAAAAGTATGGCCCAGTTATTACAAACTTAGAAGTAGCACACCATACGTTAACCTTAGGAGAGTCTCGACTGTGCTCTCTTACTTCATGGGGATTCTTTGTACACCAAATGACGCACTTGTGCTTATTGGCTTTTCAACTCACATGAAATGTGGCTTCATCCGACATAAGGATCACAACATAAGGGTCTATTTCTACAATTTCTAATAAAATTTGTGCAGTTTGTACACAAGCAATATTATCAGCATCAGAAAGTGCTTGTACAATTTGAATGTGGTACGGCTTCATTGCCAGATCTAAGTGGAGAATTCTGCAAATACTTGACTGAGAAATCTTGGTTTCCAATGATAATCTCATAGTTGACTTTCTTGGGCTCCTGATTATTACTTGTTGAATGCCATGTTTTCTTCCATTTGAACACTTCTAGGTCGTCCACTGTTTCCCCTACAGTCATTTGCCACAGACCCTGTGCGCACAAAGTTCTCATGAATTCGACGGATAGTTAAACGGCTTGGAGGATCCTTGTTAAACCATTTCTTAAATTTATTCCTTATTACTGACGGTGACATAAAGACTTCCATCCAAGCTGCTATCTTCCTTCTTTCTTCAAAAGTAAGTTGGGTGGCCATATTTAGTCTGCAACAAAATAAAATTATATTTTGTTATTATAAAAAGATGTTACCATATGCGTGGTAACATCTTTTTGACACCCTGTTTTTTGGGGCAATTCTGACAACAGTAATTTAATTTTTAAAATTCAAAAAAGAACAGTTAGAATCATTATGAAAGCTAGAAAAATGGACTCTTGTCATCCATTGTTTAGATATTTAAATATTCTTCTGTTTTACTTACAATATACGAGGGTTGGAACTTTAATAGTGGCAACACTGCTGTAGAGACTCCATGCAGTGGAACCAAATAGTGTCGCTACCTACCTTACCTCAGAGCAAATGGACTCTCCGTTCCCACATCATGCTCATGTGCAGTGATGAGAAGAACAGAGTCTTGTGTTAGCTTGTGGTCTAATGTAGTGTTGTCACGATGTTTTCGAAACAGGAACAACGGGGTTGGATAAATATTGAATGTGCCAGAGGCTGTACAGCACAACAGTGTCATCAAGGTCTTCAAGAGGCTTGCGGGGAATCTGCATTGCCTTACAGAACAGTGGCAAGGGGGGTAAAAGCCTTCAACGAGAGACGCCAAAATGTGGCAGACATGCGTCAGCCAGGTCGCCCTAGTGTCAGTGAAGAAGGGCATTACTGGAGAGTGATTGATGCCCTACGATTTGTGAGCTGGCTCGAGACACAGGATTAGTGCATATGACTGTGCTTCACATTCTGAAGGAACACCTGGGCATGAGAAAAATTGCATCATGATGGGTTCCGCTGATTTGGTGGAAATGCAGAAATGGCTTGTTTGACGATGGGGCTGGGAAGTGCTGTACCATCCCCCATACTCCCTGGACTTAAGCCCTTGCGACTTCGACTTGATTCTTAAGATGAAGGAACCACTTCGTGGCATTCGCTTCAGAACTGTTCCAGAGATTCTTCATGCAGTAGACCGCTCCATTCGAACTATTAACACAACAGGGGCTGCTAAAGGTGTCCTACGACTTCCACGTCGCTGGGCAACGGGTTGTACACAATACTGGTGACTACATTGAAGGACAGTAAAACTTTGAAACATGGATCTATTTTGTATCAGTTGTAAATAAATAGTTATCACTATTAAAGTTCCAACCCTCATATATTTTCAATATCCATGTTTGTTATTAATAGTATGGATACTTTCACACTATTCTTTTCTTTCTTTATTGTCAGTGGAGTGGGACTAAGTCCCTTATACTGCGGCCACTTCTGGCCTATTGTACCAGCCCCAGATGATAGGTGAGGGTGATTGTGGAGCAATTGGTGGAATGAAGATTGGCAAGGGAAACCGAAGTACTCGGAGGAAACCTGCCCCAGCTCCACTTTGTCCACCACAAATCCCACTTGACCAGACCCGGGATCAAACCCAGGCTGCTGCAGTGGGAAGCCAGCGACCATCCACTTGAGCTATGGTGCACCCCCTATTTTCACACTAAATTCTGATATACATAGTATCCATACCAGACAAAGTTCGGATTTACAGCATTCAACTTATAAATTAATTAAAGTCCAAAAAGGTGTCTACTGTTCTGCGATTATGATATTTAATAATTTACCACAGAATCTTAAGAACATGACAAATGATGTTGATAAGTTTAAACATGCTTTAAAAAAATTTCTCCATATTGGCTCCTTTTACTCATTGTGGGAATATCTAGATTGAAGAATAATGGAAAACCTTGCTTCTTACAAATAATTTATAATCTGATTGCTGATCTGATATGGATTTTTGCGTGGTTGATGTAATCTTTTGTCTTGATTTTTATGCAACTGTCCGTTTTGATAAGCATGATTTATATGTATTGTTTACCTGTAGAATTGCCTGTATATGTTTTCTCTGATAGTATTGTGATATGACGCGTCCTGTATCAATGTATTTTGATTTAGGGAAGAATGAAATAAAGAAAGAAAGAAGGAAAGATAATTGGTCATAAGTGTGTAAATTTATAATGCATTTAATTCAGTTAATTTAGATAATTTAAATGAAATTGTATTAATTTTTTTATTTTATTATCTAATTGACTAATGTATGTGATTTTAATTATGTAACTCATGTCAATTATTATATGTATCTGGACACATCTATTATCAAAAGGACTATTTCCACAGCCTAGGTTTTTTACCTTTATGGATCTATGGAAAATAAAGGAAATGAATGAATGAATGGAGAAGAGAAACATCTCTTGTTTCTGCCAGAAATTGAACCTCAAGTCCTTGGACATCAAGCTAGTAGTCAAATGCTATACCAAATGAACTATCCCAGCGCCCAAAGCCGTGCAGAAGGTTTTGCCAACCTTAGAAAGATAGTTACATGCTGTTAAATCTTAGGAATGCACTATTAAGAAAGAAAGATGTTTCCCAAAATGTGCATTTCTGGGGAAGGGCACACCTGTTTGCCAAGGAGGAACCCCAACACCCTCCATTTGCTGGGTGGGAATCCCCCAGGCCCTTGGGGCTTGCTTAGGAGGTTGGCATTATTTTTAAAAACTTTTTTCACTTGTGATGTTATATAGCTAAAGGCATTTTTTTAATTGACAGAACCTTGTGCCTTTCATAATTTAAATTATGTGTCACCACACCATGGCATCCAAATCCACACCTCAGATCTGTTGTGAAGGGGAAACCTGTGACAGGGAAGGAAGGATACTGCAAGGAATGGTGGTCAGAAATGAGAGGATGTTGTGTGATGCCTCCCTAAACTTAGACTTTAAGTAGTAAAACTGATGTACCCAAGGAAATTTCCATGAATGAAAAGTCATGTATATTCTGGTTCTTGGATTCAGATGTGAGTGGTTAACTTCACATTCTGATCACCCTAAAGCTGAGAAGGTTACTCCTAGTACCTGTTTGATAGTAAGCTTGATGGCCCCCATAGTTTGCTGACTTCACTGTACAAGCCCACTGTAAATCTGCTAATACATTGGTGTAACTCTACACTGATGCCTGTAGGTCTTAAGGGCCATGTCATTTGTTAACAGGCACACAGGCTCATCACAATGCAATATTTGACTTGGCATGGATGGAAGAGGAACTGAAGTTAGTGAGTGTATCCGGTGACCATACAGCTGTACTGTGGGATGTTAGCATCACGCCATGGAGACAGTTGCGGCAATTCAGAGGGCACACAAGGAGCGTCAAGACAGTGGTATTCAGGCCACAGGACAAAGGTAAGATAAGTTTTGTTGAATGCAGCTGAGAATTTTCTCAATTCTGGTTTTGAATGGGTCAGTGGACGACACCCCATGTAAGGTGAAATAATATGCACCAAAATAACGTGAGTATAATAGAAACTTTAAAGGATTTTATGTGGTTTTACCTTGAAACGAGGACTACAGCGTGTGATTTTAACACGTATTAAGACAGTGTAGCAGTTTTAACATAATTTAATAAAATATTTGTAACATATCAAGACACCTGAAGATGGCCATTTGGGGCCAAAACATGTAGTGTCAAAGTGTATAATGTTAAACTAAAATTAAAATTAAGTAGTGAATAAAAAAGTGTTCCAGTATTGACAGACGATAAATAATGGACCTTAAATTGAACAATTGCAACGGGATGCTGAAATACGGAATCAGATCATCACTATTCTCATTACAGTATTAGGCCTAGTGGCATGTTATATATTAAAAATACAGTCTCCGCATCTTAAGCATTTTCCTTGTCTGCATTAATATTTTATAGTTCTGGGGAAGGTCCTGTCAGATGTCGTCTTTAAAGACATTCTTTCCACTGTTGTACAGAATCTGTTATAAGTGAAATTTTTAATCCTGTCACTTTATTTATTTTATGGTTTCAAATCATATGTTTTATGTATTGTAATGTGTTTTGCCACTGAAGATGCCATTCGGATTGTTAATTGGTTTATTTAACAACCTAAAAGTCTTGGCTACAATTAATTATAACACTGTTGCGGGTTTACACAATCCACAAACCCTGCACACTATTCTATTCCCTCTGTCCTCAGTAGTATTCACGTTTTAATAACGCGGGAGCTGTACAAGTGTCACTTAATTACTCGCTCCCAGTACCTTCTCAGTTATCACAAACTATCACTGATTATCACACATAAACTCTTCTGATCACGCGTTCAGGTCTTCTTTCCGCAACTGCTGCTCTATTCCAACTGTCCTTGGCGGCTGCTACATTTTAACTGTTTTAGGCGGCTGCTATCTTTCAACTCCTCATAACTAGTAACTGACTCAGTACTCACTACTCACTACTAATCACTCACTCATTCAAAAGTGAACAGTGTTCGCTGTTCCTTATTTAGCCTCGTTACGGGCAACACAGAAAACAGTTACGCAATAGGTACTGCTGTTGCCTGATGCCGTGTTTACAGGTTGCCTAGCAACACTGTAGAGTTGTTTACTGCTCTGTAGCAACTGCGGCATCCCTTGGTAACGTCACCGTGGGAGGGGCCGGGGTGTTGACTGGCCTATTACCGTAGCAGTGACAACGCTCTGAAGGTGTTACGTCACTGCTGGCGGGGGAGGGGGTGTCCTGCATAGCGCAAATATGTCACAGTATTTTGTTAATAGTGCTGCGATAAGTGAAATTAGTTAATACTGGTGTGTATTAATTAATTCCAGCTGTTAGTATTGTAGTACGCAAAACTGTTAAAATTGCAAAGGTAATTACGTTGCTCTGTACATTGAATGATCAAGGTAGTCATTCATCCAGTGATTGCAACTCAGTGTTAACTTTAATGGTCAACAGTTTGAGCGTCTTCTGTAAATCATTTTGTTGGTTCAAAATACCAAGTTATTAATTCAGGATGATATTTGAGATCTGTTATATATTGTTGCATTCTGTTGAATCAGAATGGTACTTTGTGATAGTATTTTTGAATTTGTCAAATTAAAAATATATGGTGCCATTTAAAGAAGTGCTAGTGACCTTGATATCTCATTAGCGAAAGGTGTCATAAACAAACTATATGGTATCATGTATGTGCCCCCATAAAATCTGAACAACCTTTATCCAAAACATTTCTTTTATTTGATCCTAAGGAAAGAGTTATTTCAGTTGATCAAGATAAATTGTACACTCAGGATACTTAAATAATCCTCAGCCATGAAACAAAGAAACCAAACTAAAAGCAGTACATAGAGTATAATAAAATATAGTGGGAAAGAATGCAGCAGAAAGCAGAATTAGATAAAACTAAACAGTATCTCTCCCAAATGGTATCTTATGTGTAAACTTACTTAAGAATAGTATCGTTTTTCTTGATAGAGAGTAAATGCTGTCTGTTTGTTCACAGCTGTGTTTGCAACAGGGGCACGGGATGGGATGATAATGGTATGGGACACAAGGTCAAACCAGGGGCCATTGTGGGACAAGCCAGATAATTTCATCTCAAACTCCCATCATGCCTTGGGATCAGGTGAGTGAGTGGAGGTTTGTTTATATTATGTCTCCACCGTGTCTGCCTATGTACATTGTAAGATAGCATACTGTGCAGTGACGCATAATAGAGCATAACTTAACCCTCTGCTGTAGGTACATTTTTGAAAGCCATAAAATTGAATTTTTAAAAACAAATTTCTAAGCCAGTTTTGAAATTGGTTGCATCTATGTAAAAATCTTATATGTATGCAGAGCTAGTAAATACTTGGAAATTATTCAGACGTCCAGTGCTACTTGGAAATGAGAATAACAGACCTTAAGTAGATCCAAGATAAAATTAAGAGCATATTAAATTTGGGGTAAGCATACTATTATTCATTTCAGAATAAACTACCTTTGTTGACTTATTTAAGGAACTAAACATGACAATATATAAAACTACAGTTTCTACCTCTTTTGAATGAGTTTGAAACCTACTCTTTTATATTAAGGGAAGAAGGGTGCTGAGAACAAAAAGTACTAAGGAAGCATTTTGATCCTGTGAGACATGAAGTAAGAAAGAAAGAAAATTATGTAAAAGGTAACTTTATAATTTGTATGCTTCAGCTCAATACTAATGTTCAAACGATTAAATGAAGGACTGAATGAAATGGACATGGAACATGCATTGAGACGTTCTGGTTAGAAGTTCTTGGGGGAAGAATTGCTTAGGAGACCTGTGTTTAACTGGGAAAATATTA